ATTTGCAGGAAAATGCATGGGCTATGCTGTCTGCTTTTAATTTATTTATCTTTTCTGTTAGTCCATAGGGCTTGAACTCAGGGCTCAAGCACTGTCCCTGGGGGGTGGGGGGGTGGGGGTGGTGTGTGTGTGTGTGTCATGGTGTCTGAACGTGTGTGTGTGTGTGTGTGTGTGTGTGTGTGTCATGGTGTCTGAACTCTGGGCTCATCAGCTCAAGGCTAGCACTCTACTATTTGAGCCATAGCGCCATTTCTGGCCTTTTCTGCTTATGTGGTGCTGAGGAATCAAAGCCAGAGCCTTATGCATGCAAGATAAGCACTCTACCACTGAGCCAACTTCCCAGCCACTGTCCCTGAGATTTTTCTCTCCAGGCTAGCACTTAGCCACAGTGCCACTTCTGGTTTTCTGTTTGGTTAACTGGAGAGTCTCATGGACTTTCCTGGCTGGACTAGCTTTGAACCGCAATCTTTAGATCTCAGTCTCCTGAGTAGCTAGAATTATAGACTTGAGCCACTGGTACCCAGGTGACAGTCTACTTTTGTAAAGCCAACTCTTTTTAAAAATTTACTTGAAAATTAAAATAACAATAACAACAATAATAATAATAAAAATAAAAACAGCCAAGTATGGTAGGATACACCTGCAATCCTGCACCTGAGAGGCAGAGGAAGGAAAATTGAAAAGTTGAGGCCAGTCTGGCCTGGGCTACATAGTAGTACTCTTTAAAAACTTATGTTTTGGGGGGCTGGGAATGTGGCTCAGTGGTAGACTGCTTGCCTTGCATGCATGAGGCCCAGGGTTCGATTCTTCATCACCATATAAGCAGAAAAAGCAAAAGTGGTGCTGTGGCTCAATTGGTAGAATGCTAGCCTGTACGGTATTTTCACGATTTAAAAAAAAAAAAAAGTATTGTCTCATAGTTCTGTCTGTTCTCAGAGATTATCTTTTGACAGTGTGGTGGATACTCAGACCTTAAGCTATGAGGGTGTATACATACATAAACACATTTTTCTTTTTTATCTAGATGTCGCAGTATTCCTGTGGGGACTCCATTCCTTATTATGGCTCTACCTAATAAGTTACATAGCTACATAATGATTTATTTAACCATATCCTCTTAGGATATTCCAATCTTTTGCTACTACAATACTATAATGACCACATTATCTCTTTTCATAGAGTAAATCCCTAGAACTAAAATGACTAAGTCAAACATTATGAATGTTCTAGAACTGTACAATGTCTTCTGAAACTCAGCTTATACTTTACCCCAGAGTCTGACAATGCTCACTTTTCCAACCTTTAAAAACAACTGCAACAACAAATAACTGGTTATCGGCTGGGCACCAGCAGAAGGCTGAGATCTGAGTATTATGGTTCAAAGTTAGCCTGGGGCAGAAAAGACCACAATACTCTTATCTCCAGTTAAGCACCAAAAAGCCAGAAGTAGAGCAGTGGCTCAAGTGATGTAGCACCAGCTTTGATGGTAAAAGGTAAGGGACAGCACCCAGGACCTGAGTTCAAACCCTAGTACCAGCACAAAAAAACAGAACTAAAAACACCCTCTACTTATTATCAATTAAATTTTTTCCCAATATAATGGACTAAAAATTTTTTGTATTTTTGTTATGCATTTTTGTTTACTATGAAGAATTAACTATTTCCAAATATTTACTGACTATATTTTTCTTCAGAGAATATTCTTTATTTTTTTATTGGGCCTTTATTTTTACTTCTGATGGTACTGGGAATTAACTCGGGCCATTATGTCTGTCAGAAGGGCTCTACTATGTTCCCTTCCATTTGTCATTTTCTTACTAATTTCTAAAATAGTAAGTCTGGAAGAGAAAGAGAGAAAAATAATAACACACACACACACAAAACACAATCTAGAAGCCAAGGTCAAAATTCTCTATCTAATCACATAACATTTATGCACTCAAATATGTAATAAGCAGTTACTATGACAAGCAAGACAATAGTTATCCTCTGAAATTATTTAACAGGATAGCAGTTCATAGTTTAAAGTCACACAAAACCATGGGGAGAAAGCAGGTATTTTAACTTCTGAGTGATTTAATGCTGCAGAGCTCTAGTAACTGCTTTACTCAACATTTCAAAATGAGAGTAAACATCACATTGTAACTCACCCAAAATCTTATCAAAATAATTAAGAAAAGAATCTGCATCAAAAGTGATAGGGGCCTCAGAAGGTTCTCTACAAGATTAAAGAGAAAAGACAGTTAATTAATTCACACTAAACACAACTCTGAGACTTTTTCTAATGTAGCACTACTCTAAGGAAAACTGACAGAAATATACAAAGGAGAGATAATAAGGAAAACTGCAGTTTAATTTTCAAAAAACAGTTCATGTGTTTATTAGCCTTTGCAGGGCAACAGAAAGAAAAGTTTGAAGATAGAAAAGAATTTCACTTATGCACATTTAGCTTATTTACTTAGGAACCCACCCACTCTGTACTCCTGTAAGAGAGGTTTAACATTAGTAAGAGAAATTATTTATCTGAGTTTATTATTATAAAGTTTATTTCTTTAAGAATTAAATATTAAGGCTGGGCGCTGGTGGCTCGCATCTGTAATCCTAGCTACTGAGGAGGCTGAGATCTGAGGATCATGGTTCAAAGCCAGCCTAGGCAGGAAAGTCCATGAAACTCTTATTTCCAATAAACCACCAGAAAACTGGAAGTGGCACTGTGGCTCAAGTGGTAGAGCACTTACCTTGAGCTGAAAGCTCAAGGACAGCACCCAGGCCCAGACCAGAGTTCAAGCCCCACAACCAATGACCAAAAAATAAATAAATAAATAAAAATCAAATATTAAAAGATAAATAAGAATATACTGTCAGGTGCTAATGGCTCATGCTACCATGAGATCTAAAGCCAGGTAGGCAGGAAAGTCTATGACACTTTTTTTTAACTTAAATAAAAATAAATAAATTTTAAATAAATTTTGAAGAACAAAAAAAAAAGACTGGAGTTTCCAACCCAGTACGAATACCCTGTATATCTCTGAGTAAGTTTTTTTATCTCTCAGTTCCTTGAAGACATTTCATTACCACCCTCATTGCCACCAGCTTCAAAAGCATGCCAAAATATATAGAATACCCATGTTTTCTCTGATACAAATGGGCCCTCAGCCCATCTGACATCTTATCTTCAAGTTAACTACCAAAAAGTGGAGCTGTGACTGATGTGGTAGAGCCTTGGGCAAAAGAAGCTCAGACAGCACTTAGGCCTTGAGTTCAACCTCCAGGACCAGCCAGAAGAAAAAGCCAGGTGGTAGTGGCTCAGACCTGTAATCCTACCTATTCAACAGGCTGAGAGCTAAGGATCATATTTCGAAGCCAGCCCAAGCAGGAAAGTCTAGGAGACTCATCTCCAATTAAACCACAGAAAAACCCAGAAATGGCAATGTGGCTGAAGTGGGAGAGCACTAGCCTTGACCAAAATCTCAGGGACAGTACTCAAGGCACAGAGTTCAGGTCCAAGCCAAAAAACAAAAAAAGAACATACTCTTCCTTTTTTTTGTCTTCTTAAGAGAGAGAAGTGAGTATGAAGTTTAGTCTTTCATGAGATTCAAGAGCATTGCCACCAATAAAGATTATATTTGCTGTGCAAGTAACAATTTTTTTCTTTAAAAAAAATTATCTTGGGCTGGGAAGGTGGCTCAATGGTAGAGTGCTTGCCTTGCATGCATGAGGCCCTAGGTTGGATTCCTCAGCACCACATAAGCAGAGAAAGCCGAAGTGGCACTGTGGCTCAAGTGGTAGAGTGCTAGCCTTGAGCTGAAGAGCTGAGGGACAGCGCCCAGGCCCAAAGTTCAGGTCCCACAACCAAAAAAAAAAAAATATCTTTAGGCAGTTGCACTTTTGTGCAACACACTGAAACCCACAAAAAGTAGAAATGGTACTTTCTACTGACTGGACAGCTTCAATGGAACTGTTTAAATATTATTCCTTAAAACAAGTTACCGAGGCAGCTCTGCTCCCTTGTGGGTTGAAACTTTGGATACAAAAGCTTTCATGCTCTCCGAGATTTCAGTTAAGTCATAGATCTGCTCTTCCTCTTTCTTAGAAATGGGCTCTGATTCATTTTTGCCAGCAGCTTCTTTTAACAGCTGGTCCAGCTGCTCTGGTGAGAGATCTAACCACTGATCATCTGAAAAAGAAGAAAGCATATTACTATTCTACAGATAGGAAAGTCCATGTCATGACAGATCCTCTCAGAGAAGACTGGAATACTCAAGAGACCACCTTTCCATTCTTTCCAGCTCTCCTGCTGTATCATGGTTCATCACTCACCATCCTCAGGGGGAAGATTAGCTTCTTCTTTCTTAAGTTCTTCTATATTAAATGGCATTGTCTGTAACATGGTTAAGATTTCTTCACCTGGGCTCATAGCAAGTAAACTGTAGAAAACAAAAGACATAAGGAGATAGGATTACACCACATGCTAGCACTTTAAATACATTTCTTATTTGATCCCAACCCTAAGTTAATACATGGCAAAATATTTGCAAATATCACATGGTAAGGAGAGACATGGAAGAAGTAATTATTTTCATTGGTGAAAGGATAGAGAATTTTAAAAAGGTAATAGAATGCTTCCTTTAGATCTTAAAAGAATGGAGCAGGTATATGTGTGTGTGTGCGCACGCGCATGTGTGTGCATGTGTGTGCGTGTGTGTGCGCGCGCGCGTGTGTGTGTGCTGGTCCTAGGTATTAAAGAATGGAGCAGGGGTGTATATGTTTGTGTGCTGGTCCTGGGTCTTAAAATAACTAGGGCTGGGAAGGTGGCTCAGTGGTAGAGTGCTTGCCTTGCATGCATGAGGCCCTGGGTTCGATTCCCCAGCACCACATAAGCAAAAAGGAAAAAAAACCGGAAGTGGCGCTGTGGCTCAAGTGGTAGAGCGCTAGCCTTGAGCTGAAAGCTGAGGGACAGCGCCCAGGCCCACAACTGGACTACAAAAAAAGAAGAAAAGAAATAAGTAACTAAAATTACAAGACAGAGAAATAATAATAAACAGGATAATAATAAACAGGATATGGACTGGACACAAAGACAGTGAGAACAGTGGTACAATATTAAAAGACATCTGATAAAAAAAAAGGAGTTGAAAAAAATTCTAGATGGCAATAAATAAGTAATAGTGGTCAACCTTCAGGTATACTTTTTTCTTTCTTACATATTTATTTGCTATAATAACTATGCTACTTTTATAATAACAAATAAATTTTATTATTTAAAAAACTAGGTTCCAGCAGCTCAGATCTGTAATCCTACCTACTCAGGGAGCTGAAATCTGAGGATTGCAGTTTGAAGTGAGCCCAGGCAAGAAAGTCCTTGAGACTCTTATCTCTTACCAAAAATGTCATAAGTGGAGCTGTGGCTAAAGTGGTAAAGCGCTAGCCTTGAGCATAAAAAACTGAGGGCAGTGCCCAGGCCCTGAATTCAAGCCCCAGGACTGGCACCAGAAAAAAAAAAAAAAAGGAACCCAATCATCAACTATCATTTACCTTTCTGGCCGGTCTACTGAAAGTTGGAAGTAGTTCTTTGCCATTTCAAGCCTTTCCTGGTACTGAGCCGAGCCTTCTACCAGTCCCTTAAAAAAGATGATTGTCTTTCAGAATATTATTTATACAATGTCATTAAAATAACATGATTACTAGTAACTTTCAGAAAAGTAGCATATGCTGTACCATTCAGAAATCCCAAGGCGTGACTCTCAACCTGTTTGGCCATTAATGTACTTACCTGGGCTCCAGTTTCTTCAGATGAAGGTAAAAATAAGACACAAATAAAACCAAAAATAACCTACTATTACTTGTTTTCTACATGTGTTTTTCTAAAGGTAATCATGCCTAATATTTAACATTCTTAAAAATATGCTCTAATAGTACATGCACTTTTGCACTCCGCTACACAATCTTTATAATCAATGTTTCTACTTCTTGGATATTTCCTCATGAAAGAAGATACCAGTTTACATCTTTCTGTACTTTTTGGAATATATGCTCAAATTATTTTCAATTAAATTTCTATAAATTTACAATGTACTGACAATTGGTCCAATTGGTACAGAGTATTATTTTTACATGCTCCCAGTTGTACTGAATTTCATCATACTGTGTTTTACATATTGAAAACTTATCTTCATTATCATGTTTGTAAGATCCTCTTACTATCTGTGATTTCTTTTTTTCAAATGTCAGTACCAGGGCTTGAACTCAAAACCTCACACTTGTTCTGTTTGTTTGCTCAGTTGGCATTCTACTTCTGTACCATGCCTCCAGTTCCAGTCTTCTGCTAGTTAACTGAAAACAAGAATCTTGATTTGGCCAGCTCTGAACTTCAATCCTCAAATCTCAAGCTTCCTGAGCAGCCAGGATTATAGGTGTGAACCACTGGTTCCAAGCCTAATGGTGACTAGTTTAAGAAAAAGTTATTAGTTGTGTTAAAAAAAATTTTTTTTAGAAAATTCATGTCTTTGCTAATTTTCCTCTGTAGTGCCTGCATGTTTGCTTTATAAATTTCTGCAAGTTGTTCATCAGATACAATAAGGTGGTTCACACCTGAAATCCTCACTACTCAGGAGGCTGAGATCTGAGGATCATGGTTCAAAGCCAGCCCAGAGGAAAGTCCATGAGACTATCTTGAATTAACCACTAGAGTATTGGAAGTGGAGATGTGACTCAAAGTGGTAGAATGCTAGCCTTGAGCAAAAGAGCTCAGGGACAGTGCCCAGGCTTTTAGTTCAAGCTCCATGTCTGAACAAAAAGTAAAAAAATAATAACTTTTGTTTTATAAAATAGTATTAGATTTCTCTGTAAAAAGCAATCCAGATGACCTCTCATCACTCATTTAAGACCTTAAGTACATTGAGTAACTCTAGCTTCTATAATTATGTCACAGTTTTAAATATGGATCACAGGACTTAAGTCATTAACATGATTTTCTATGGATTGTATACTTAAAAAAAAAACCTACCTTAAAGTAGTCATTATTTTTCAGACTTTCAAGGAAGCTGGCCCAGAGTGGTGAGGTTGTCGTAAGTGACTTCCTGGAGTTAGAAAAATGTGGCATGCATTTAGAGCATAAGATCTCAAATCCATGAGCCTAGAGGAGATAGGCAGAGTTTTTATTAAGTTACTTTTAAAAATAAGTTTTATTCTTTCATGTTATTTTCTTCCCATGTGGCTATACTCAAGAATAAGTGACTGAACACATGGCAATGTGGACATTTAGAATATTTTTTAAAATTTTATGAAAAATATAAATTTGTATCTAATTTTTCAAATTCTACATAGTAAAAATCAGAGAAAGAAAATGAAAATAAAGGCTCCTAATCAGGGGGCTGGGAAAGTGGCTCAGTGGTAGAGCGCTTGCCTTGCATGCATGAGGCCCCGGGTTCGATTCCTCAGTACCACATAAGCAGAAAAAGAAAGCCGGAAGTGGTGCTATGGCTCAAGTGGTAGTGTGCTAGCCTTGAGCTGAAGAGCTGAGCGACAGCACCCAGGCCCAGAGTTCAGGCCCCATGATTGGACCCCCCCAAAAAAAAAAAGGCTCCTAATCAGATTAGATTCTTTTCCTAATTACAAATGCACCACTTTATTTTTACACATGTAAGTCAAATATATACACATACATATATATTTATATTATAAATATGTATATATTATATATATTTTTGTGTGTGTGTGTGTGCATATTTGTTGATACTGAGGCTTGACCTTGGGGCCTAGGCCATGTCCTTGAGCGTTTTGCTCAAGATTGGTGTTCTACCACTTGAGCTACAGCCCCACCTTTTGGCCTTTGCTGGTTAATTGAAGATGAATGTTTCTTGGATTTGTCTGTCCCAGTTGGCTTCAAACCTTGATCCTCAGATCTCAAGTCTCATTAAGGAGCTAGGATTATAAGCATGAGCCACCAGCATCCAGCTCTCTGTTTTTTTTTTTTTGGTCAGTTGTGGGGCTTCAACTCTGGGCCTAGGCGCTGTCCCTAAGCTCTTCAGTTCAAGTCAAGCATTCTACCACTTGAGCCACAGCACCATTTCCAGTTTTCTGGTGGTTTATTAGAGATAAGAGTCTCAAGGACGTTTCTGCCTGGGTTGGCTTTGAACTATGATCCTCATATCTCAGCCTCCCAAGTAGCTAAGATTACAGGTGTAGCCACCAGTGCCCGGCCTATCTCTCTTTCTTAAAAATGATTTTTGCTATGTTATAGTGGCCCTAACGTCTGGCCTCTAGTGACCCTTTTGCCTCAACTTCCTGAGTAGCTATGACTATAGGTATGGTTCCATGTGCTTGGCTTAAATTTTTACATAAAACACTTATCAAGATGGAAGGGGTGGCACTGCTCCCCACCTGCTTCTAACCCTCCCCCCAAATATACTCTTTACCTGACTAATGTAACTATAAACCTCTGTACATCACCTCATCTTTACAATAACAATTAATTTTTCAAAGTATCATCTTTAGTTTCATCATTTCTAGTTTCAAGTCATGCTTACAAAAAACTTTCTTACTCATTTTATAAAAAATATTTTTGTTGGGCTGGGGAGGCGGCTCAGTGTTAGAGTGCTTGCCTTGCATGCCTGAGGCCCTGGGTTCGATTCCTCAGCACCACATAAGCAAAAAGCTGGAAGTGGCGCTGTGGCTCAAGTAGTAGAGCGCTAGCCCTGAGCTGAAGAGCTGAGGGACAGCGCCCAGGCCCAGAGTTCAGGCCCCATGACTGGACCCCCCCCCAAAAAAAAGTAGTTCTTACATTAAAAAATAATAATTAAAAAAAATAAAAAATATTTTTGTTGGGCTGGGAAGGTGGCTCAGTGGTAGAGCACTTGCCTTGCATGCATGAGGCCCTGGGTTCAATTCCTCAGTACCACATAAGCAAAAAGAAAAAAGCCGGAAGTGGCGCTGTGGCTCAAGTGGTAGAGCGCTCGCCTTGAGCTGAAGAGCTGAGGGACAGCGCCCTGGCCCAGAGTTCAGGCCCCACAACCGGACCCCCCCACCAAAAACAAATTGTTTTCTTTCAGATTTTAGTTTCATTGTTTATTTGATACAAATGGAGTCTCTAGGTGTAAGTATGCAGGAATAAACTTCAATTTTTCAGATGCTTTGCAATTATCCTATCATCATTTATCGAACAGTCCTTTTTTAACTTCTGATTTGAAAATCCATATTTTACCACAGTCACATATACACAGGGCATGTTTTGAGACTTGCTGGGCTGTGTGGTTATTCTGTTCTTTAACATAAAGAAATAAAAAACATTAAGGATCAACATTACCAGCTTCATGCCAAGTTCATAGGCACGGTATTTGGGGTGAGATGGAGGAGGCAGCGTGTATCCACTCCGCCGGTCTGGCACAAACTTCTGCTGCACCAGCTGTGCATACAGACACTTGGTGAAAGTGACCTAGGTAGTGGGACACAAAATTCCTAAGTGTCTGAAAGCATAGGAGCTATTCACATTTACATATTCATAGGGAAAATGCAAACATCTACCCTAGTTACTGTCCACTCAATTTTAATTATAGCAGCTATAGTGAGATAAAACTCATATTCAAATTTACTGTAGTGACTTGTACAATTAGCAGAAGATAAATAATTATTAGTTCTCTGGAAGATATGAACTGTGTTAGTATAAAGAAGGAAATAATATGGAAATAGAGAAAATATGATCAAAATAGGAGGGGAATATATAAAGATGAAGAGATTCATGTGTTTAAAATCTCCTCTGAGAAAAAGAAGAAAAAAATGTGTATTAACATGCTAAGAGAACACAGAATATTTCCAATATTTCTCTAGAAAATTCAAATTATGGGCTGGCAATGTGACTCAGTGGTAGAGTGCTTATCTAGCATGCATGAGGCCTTGGGTACAAGAAAAAGCCAAAAGTGGCACTGTGGCTCAAGTGGTAGAGTGCTAGCCTTAAGCTGAAGAGCTCAGGGACAGCGCCCAGGCAGAGTTCAAGCCCCACGACAGGCAAAAATAAATAAATAAATAAATAAATAACAATAAAAATAAGGGCTGGGAAGATGGCTCAGCAGTAGAGTGCTTGCCTCCCATATATGAGGCCCTGGGATTGATTCTTTAGCACCACATAAACAGAAAAAGGGGAAGTGGCATTGTGGCTCAAGTGATAGAGCACTCACCTTGAGCTGAAGAACTCACAGACAGCACCCAGGCCTACAGTTCAAGCCCCACGACCGACAAAATAAATAAATAAACTCTCTTTCCATTGAGAAAAACCAAATGACTAAAAGAGCTACCTTACCGATGTCATGACTCGTGTTTCAGGCAAGAACGTTCTGAACACCCGGCAGGCCCTCAGGTCAATGAGGTCACGCAGGTAAAAGGCCTGAACTGCCGCTGCCACCAGTCGGGGCTGCTGCTTTAGCACCATTACAGCACCAGCTGGCAAGAAGCAGTGTGCTCGATGAAGGGAGGCTTCAATTTTCTCTGGGTACCTGTGCCGGGCAACAATGTTGTTTTTATTTTATAGTATATATCTAGAATTCACACATCTTGACTTACTTCATCAAAAGTGAGTAAAAAGTGACAGGAAAACTGAAAAGAATATACTTTAAGACTGTAGGAAAGAAGAAAAGGAAAAAAGAAATGAAATGGAAAATAAAGGAAAGGCCCAAACATGATGGCTCATGATACTTGAGAGTCAGGGATTGGGAGGATCACAGTTTAAGGCCATTCTAGGCAAAATGTTAGAGAAGCCTCACGCCTCATTTCAATGAATAATCTAGGCATGATGGCACATGCCTATAATCAAAGCTATAAGAAAGGCAGAAGTGGGTCTAGGAAGGTAGCTCAATGGTAAAGTCCTTGCCTCTCATGCATGAGTTCCTGGGTTCCATTCCTCAGCACCACATAAACAGAAAAAGCGATAAGTGGTGCTGTGGCTCAAGTCGTACAGGGTTAGCCTTGAGCTGAAGAGCTGAAGGGCAGTATCCAGACCCAGAGTTCAAGTCCCACGACTGACAAAAAACTTTTGTCAGAAATAGAAGGATTTTGTTTTGAGGTTGGCCCCAGGCCAAACACAAAGGACCCTGTGTAAAATAACTCAAATAGAAAGGGCTGAGGACGTGACTAGTGTTAGAGCACCAGTTAAGCTAGCTTGAGGCCCTGAGTTCAAACCCTAGTACAATACCAAAAAAAAAAAAAAAGGGGGGGGGGCTGGACACCAGTGGCTCATGCCTGTAATCTTAGCTACTCAGGAGGCTGTGATCTGAGGATCTCAGTTCAAAGCCAGCGCAGGCAGAAAAGTCAGTGAGACTCTTATCTCCAATAAACCACTAGAAAACCGGAAGTGGCACTGTGACTCAAGCAGGGGAGCTCGCCTTGAGCTGAAGAGCGCAGGGACAGCGCCCACGCCCAGAGTTCAAGCCCCACAACCAACCAAAAAAAAAAAAAAAAAAGCCCGGGAATTATGATAACAACAGCAACAAAAAAAGCCTGCTATCCCTTGGAATAAGGACAAAATCAGAATTTATATTTCTAAAAAATGTAAAAAGTAAAAAGCATATGAAATAAAGCTAAAAGAAAGGTCTAGAAGCATGGCTTATGTGAGAGAGTACCTGACTAAAAGATCCAGGTCCTGAGTTTAAATGTTTTTTGTTTAAAAACAAAAATTAAAAAAAAATAGTTAAACCTAAAAAAGATTTTTTTACTAGTTAAAATTGAATGGTGTTAAATTCTAATAATAGGTAGTCATATCTGAATGAGGTCAACTAAGATGTTATGAGGCTAAAAATCTTCCTTCTCTTCTGAATAAAGTCCAAAAAGTTCCTTATAAGTCAAAGAATTTCACCAAAGGAATTAATAAAAAAAAATCTGAGTACATTGTGTTTCCTTAGGTTTCATGTTTAATCATCTCTAATTTTTATTTATTTATTTTTTTTGGGTCTGGTCCTGGGGCCTGAACTCTGGGCCTGGGCGCTGTCCCTCAGCTCTTCAGCTCAAGGCTAGTGTTCTACCACTTGAGCCACAGCGCCACTTCTGGCTTCTTTGTTTTTGCTTATGTGGTGCTGAGGAATCGAACCCAGGGCCTCATGTATGCAAGGCAAGCACTCTACCACTGAGCCATCTTCCCAGCCCCCACCTCTAAATTTTTATCCAGGCTGTAGATAGGAATTATGATATTTTAGCTAAATAAATGCAAAAATATTGGCATAGATTATACTTTGAATTGGAAGTAGAAAATACATCTAAGCCAGACACCTGTCTGTAAACTCAAAACTCAGCTTCTCAGGAGGCTGTGGAATTATTGAGAACAGGCCACCCAGGACAAAACAGCAAGAGCCCATCTAAAAATTACATAAATAGGGCTGGGAAGGTGGCTCAGTGGTAGAGTGCTTGCCTTGCATGCATGAGGCCCTGGGTTCGATTCTTCAGCACAACATAACCAGAAAAAAAAAAGCCGGAAGTGGCGCTGTGGCTCAAGTGGTAAAGTGCTAGCCTTGAGCTGAAGAGCTAAGGGACAGCGCCCAGGCCCAGAGTTCAGGCCCCACAACCGGACCACCCCCCCAAAAAATTATATAAATAAAAGACATAAAGGTTTCTTCCTGTTGAAACTGTCTTTAAAAAGATGAAGGTTACGGGCTGGGAAGGTGGCTCAGAGGTAGAGCACTTGCCTTGCATGCATGAGGCCCTGGGTTCGAGTCCTCAGCACCACATAAGCAAAAAAGAAAAAAGCCAGAAGTGGCGCTGTGGCTCAAGTGGTAGGGCGCTAGCCTTGAGCTGAAGAGCTGAGGGACAGCACCCAGGCCCAGAGTTCAGGCCCCATGACCGGACCCCCCCCCCTCAAAAAAAAAAAGATGAAGGTTAAGGGAGAATGATAGAATAATAAGGTTGATTTGGATACGTTGTGAACATATTTGGGAAAAAAATGTCACAATGAATCCTCTCTGGCTTATAAAACTAGTGTCCATCTATTTCATGAGGAGGGATACAAGTAAAATGAAAGCCAGCATTAATCCAAGTAAAGGAAGTCTAAATTCAGCAAGGTCCCTAAACTGCATGCAACACCATGAACAAGATTGGTGTTATTTTTTTTACCCTTGGATGCGCTTGTTCACAGCAGCACGTATGGATTCCAAGGCCAGAACATCTTCTGCATGTTCTGAGAGGATACTCAGTGCCTGTAGGATTGTTGGGCATGTGGTGGGTAACCAGGATTCTGCTCTAGATCGCCTAGGTACAGGAATAAGGCACAACTCCCCACGATGGAAAAACACCTGCAAAAGAGTCCATTTTCATTCTCACTGTGGTCTGGAAGACTCTATTACATATGAAAATAATTTAGACATTTGGTGTACATGCTTGCTTGAGGAGCCAATGGAGTGAAGCTACCATCTGTGGGATTATGGCTTAATGCCTCTAAGTCAGTATCCCACCCAGGCAGAACAATACGGCAGTGCCAAAGGAGCCTTGGTAGGCCTGGGATAGCTGGTCCCCCATTCATCCCTGCCAGCCTAGCCCAGGGCCCAGTCCTTGAGTCGAAGCAGGGTCATCGCCCCACCACTGTGTGTCAGGACCGGGGTCTGGTGCCTCTAGTCCTGGGAAACAGGGTGGCCACATAGGGTGGGGCCCCCACTCCCGTCATGCAACACATGTTCGGGTGGAACCTAGCACACCATTTGTAGACGACCTGCTTATGGATTAGGGCTTTGTATGTAGCAGAGCAGCCGCATCACTGCAGTCTATTGAATGTCAGCCCTCGACACAAGGGTTTGTAAAAAATATAATAACTTAAAAATGGGGCTGGGAAGGTGGCTCAGTGGTAGAATATATCTTGCATGCATGAGGCCCTGAGTTTGATTCCCCAGCACCCTATAAGCAGAAAAAGCCGGAAGTGGTGCTGTGGCTCAAGTGGTAGAGCACTAGCCTTGACCTGAAGAGCTGAGGGACAGCGCCCAGACCCAGAGTTGAGGCCCCACCACTGCCAAAAAAAAGAAAAGAAAAGAAAAGAAAAAAGAATGTGGTAGTTTATCTAGGTTTCAAACTTTGAGTATACTTACCCTGTTGGCACTATTTTCAGGTTCCAACCATTTAGGGAGATAGTCAGCAGCTTCTATTAACAAGAACTCACCATCATTGTCTACAATCCTAAAAAACAAAAAATAAAACAAAAAACCCCCACAATTTGTATTCAAAAGCACATCTTCCTTAGGTAACAAAACAACTTTATTCTAGCTGGGTGCCCGTGGCTCATGCCTGTAATACTAGCTACTCAGGTGGCTGAGATTTGAGGATCAAGGTTCGAAGCCAGCTGGGGCAAAAATGTCCCCATGAGACTCTTATCTCCAATTACCACTCAAAAACTGGAAATGGAACTGTGGCTCAAAAGTGGTAGAGTGCTAGCCTTGAGCAAAATGAGCTCAGGGATAGTGCCCCAAGTTCAAGCCCCATGACCTCAAAAACAAAAACAAAATTAGCTTTATTCTAACCCATTCTATTCACCTCAGTAAATGTCTGAGTATGTACTAGCCAAGATTGTTATAAGAAAGTAAAGTATTTAAGAGTACCATTAAGCAAATCCTAAAAGATACTATAAGATTGTAAGGAGAAAATAGATAGAGACATGATAGAAAATAAGAAAAGTATATATGGGGCTGGGAATATGGCTCAGTTGGTAGAGTACTTGCCTAGCATGATGAAGTCCTGGGTTCAATTCATTAGTACCACATAAACAGCAAAAGATGGAAGTTGGCATTTTGGCTCAAGTGGTAGAGTGCCACCCTTGAGCAAAAGATGCTCAGGGACAGTGCCCAAGCCCTGAGTTCAGGCCCTAAGACAATCAAAGAAAGAAAGAAAGGAAAAAAGAAAGAAGAAAGGATAGAAAGGAAGAAAAGGAAAGTATATAAACAAAAAAATGCATTTCTTCTTTATCCTAGAGTTTGCTTATGCATGATCCAGTAAACAGGAATGTGTGTGTGTGTGTGTATGCGCGCACGAGCGTGAGTGTGTGCCTGTGTCTCTGTGTGTTCTAACCCCCACACACTTTTTTATTGTTTCATTTTGTGGAAGATTCTTACTATGTAACTCAGGATTGCTTTGAATTCATGATCCGCCTGCCATTGCCTTCCAAATGTTATTTTCCCTATTCAGAATTCTACAAAGATAGCTTATTTTATATATTCTCCTAGCCTCTCTAGGAAGACCTATAGCTTGCTATGTATCCTAGGCTAAACTTCTACTGGGACTTGAACTCATCATACTTGCTCAGTTTATTTGCTCATGGCTGGTGCTCTACCTCTTTTTTTTTTTAACAAACACCTAATATTTATTTTCTCTTTTTTCTTTTCTTTTCTTTTTTTGGGTCCGGTCATGGGGCCTGAACTCTGGGCCTGGGCACTGTCCCTCAGCTCTTCAGCTCAAGGCTAGCACTCTACCACTTGAGCTACAGCGCCACTTCCAGCCTTTTTCTTTTTGCTTATGTGGTGCTGAGGAATCGAACCCAGGGCCTTGAGCATGCAAGGCAAGCGCTCTACCACTGAGCCACCTTCTCAGCCCTTCAAAAATTTTTTAAGGAATATTTATTCTTCAAACTTTGTAATGTTACAAGTAAATAATCTATATCTTGTAGCTATGGAACATCTTTGTGATAGCTACTTCTTCCAGAAGAGAATAGCAATAATTCATTAGGGCCAGGTGTCAGTGGCTCACACCTGTAATCCTAGCTACTCAGAAGGCTGAGACCTGAGGATCGTGGTTCAAAGCCAACCCAGGCAGGAAAATCTGTGAGACTCTTATCTCCAATTAACTACCAGAAAACCAAAAGTGGCACTGTGGCTCAAATGGCAGAGTGCTTGCCTTGAGCTGAAGAGCACAGGGACAGTGTCCAGGCCCAAAGTTCAAGCCCCACAACAGACAAGAGGGAAAAAAAAAAAAAAAAAGGATTCATTGGAAATGAACTCATGGTAAATAAATTTAGAAACCATGCCTTACATTTGAGAGTGGTTCAGTTTGTATACTGTTTAAAGTGGCTCCTCCTTAATATATCACGTTATCAGTACCATTTTAAAAGAATTACAATGCTTCCTATTGATTGCTCTTTAAATTTCTTCTGTGTATTACTTCTGAAAAAAATACAGCAATGGTCTAGTAGAAGGGTTAGGGAACATATCAAATACATCTGTGAAATATATACATGACTGGACTGTTATTTAAAATCCGTAAGAAAATTTCATGGTGATAATTTCTAGAAAACCAAAGCACTATCATGTGATTTTGCTATTTTGTAATTAGAATTTAAAAAACAACTTCTGCAATCTGCCCCAAATGTGAATTTGTACTAGTCCTCAAAATAAAATTATTACATAGTAAAAATGTAGTTAGTTATACATATATAATACCTTTAGATTAATTAAAGTAACTACTATACCTTGCTACTAATTCTGGAAATTCCTTTGTAATCCGTTTCACTATATAGACAATAAACCATTCATCCTCAATGCTATCCCCAAACTTGGTTATGCCATACATATGAGCAGGAACACTTCCTAAGAGAGAAAGGCAAGCTGTAATTGATAAATTTATCACTGCAAATAAAAATACATATACAATAATTCTATTGGAACAACACTCACTGACAAGAACTATGTTCTAAGTACTACTCTGAGAACTGGTATTGTAAGATAACAAGATGCCTAGCCTTTTTTCTTTTTTTTGGGTGGGGGGGAGGTGGTGGCATGTTAAGGGTACGAGGGCTTGAAATCAGGGCTTCTCTAACTGGACATTTTCCACTCATGGCTGGCACATTACCACTTGAGTCATGCCTCTATTTCTGGCTCTTTCCCCAGTTACTTAAAGAGATAAGTGTCTGGAGGATTTGTCTGCCTAAGCTGGCTTTGAACCTGAACAGTCAATTCTTAGCCTCCTGACTATCTAGAATTACAGGTGTGAAGTACCAGAGCCTGGCTAAGACACTAATTCTTAGAGTTCAGTGTCTAAATGAGTCAGATAAGCAAAGCAGAGCACCAGAAAACAAGATAGTGAACCCTAGCAGAGGTGTGTACTATAGGTTACATGAGCACATGGAACCTGGAAGCAAGTTCAGGAATACGCAGAGGACTTTCCCAAAAAGAGGAAACAACACATGCACAGATCTTAACAGACAATGGAACATTCTAGGAATATCAGGAAGCTGCATTTGGAGCAGAAAATTTCAAACATGTATACTCTCCACAGACAAGGAAACTGAAAAGTCAAACAGAAAATGACAAAGGAAATTAGAAAATATTTTTTTAGTGCAAATAGTTTCATCTGTACTCCAGAAATTCTGGTTTTTTTTTTTTTTT